CTAGATACAGAAGAGAGGGTGGAGAGTGCTATTGCTGTACCTAAACACCGAACTCAGTGAACTCTGGATCTCAACGGGGTGTTTTAACAGCCATTACATCAGGGAGGTGAGGCACAAACACAAATCTTGCTCCCACTTATGGAAAATATCATACGCTCCATTCGAGTGTGGCCTGTGTAAGTGGAGCTGCTGTTGTCCCACTATTGTGTTTTCCAGTTGCCACTGAATGGCACCGTTTGAATAGATGCTTTCAGTAGAACAGATGCAACATATTGTAATTTTGCTGCACAATACTAATCATCACCACTGCAAAACAATTTGTTCAGACTCTAGTTATAAATGCATGTGTGGATATCAAATGAGACAATGACATTCATTGTCTACGGATGGAAAGAAAAGGAAAGCATTGTAAATAACAATGGATAAGGAACTCACCCAAAAAATCCTCGCATTTGGTTTTGTGCTTAGTTTTTTGTGTCTACCTCATATACTTGACATACAACCATCACAGTGTACTCCCACAAATGAATTACTGAACAGTATGTACAATATGTATATGGTTATCAGGAGTAAGCAAGAGAAATTAAAGCGAGCATGTTACCCCGGTGGAGCTTACTTCAGCAACTACTCAGGTGTTTTAGCACCGGCTTCCTATCAGCTGCTAGTCTGAGGCCATCGATGTAATTTACAGACCACTAGCAGCACTGTTGACATACTGAGTGACATGCATGTCATTCGCACAAACATCTAAAAGATGGATGTCTAAGTTTAAGTCTGCCTGGCAACAGGAGCGCCAGCATACGCATTGATTAGTCCCCACGCGGTGAATACAAATGTCCTCTCCAGGGGGTTGGAAAGCAGCCTTAGTAAGCACAATAACACCACCCCAACCCTTGACCCATAACCTCGTCCACCATCGTTGCCTTTTTTAATGATGCGTCCTCCAAGGGACTCTGAGTGGTTTATGGCAGGGTGTTATTTCAAGCCTGACGATGATTAGGTGTTTGCATCTATTTAATGTAAATGGTTTTGCAATATAATTTTACTGAAAGCTGGAGGTCGGTGAATTCAAGAGATCTTCAAGATGCCAGCAGTGGTCAAGCATTATTAGAATGAATGATATGGATGCTATTCTCACATGTAGGTTGAACAGGATCAAGGCTTGTGAAGGTACTCACAGCATCTCTTTCTGCTGTTTGTTGCCACTGGAAAACATATGTTAATCCAGATTTTCTTTGTGGATACTTAGATTTTTTTCTTTCTTTTTTTTACATCCCAATAAAAGGTGAAATCACTCTCAAGGCACCTTAGAAGATATTCTCTAAAGACATTTTTCACAACACTGTGAAGCAGATCAGAATTAGCTGCACTCGTATGAGCTTTTCTAACATGAATCCTTTGAAGGTGAATGGACCCTACAGGCTAATGTGAATGCATGGCATTTAGACATGCCTCTGACACGCCTCTAACAAGGCTCCACTGTGCAATGACATTTCACTTAAAACATTAATTCAAATACTAACACACTTATAATCATAATTGGTAATATCAGATGTTTTCGTCTTTTTTCTTTTTTTCCTTTTTTGCGTATGGTGCTTTTGATTAGAATGAGTCCTGGAAATGCGGCCACTTAAAATAAAAGTCACAGTAGGATGTGGATATTTTCTGTGGCAGTTCATTCCATCACATGACTTTGGCTATAGGGAACTAAACTGTTTGTATGTTACCAATTTTATATAAATTATGGATTAGTGTATACCATAATTATGTTAATGTGTCCACCATCACAGGATTAAGGGCAATGCAATTAACAATTCCACAAATTTGATTTCAGAAATGACACGGTGAAAGCCTGTCACTATCACTCTGATGAAGGTAAAGTAGAGGGCAACACATGGGCTGCACGGCCAAATGTGTCTTTATACAATGCAGCACACTTATACTAAGTTACTGTTGAAACCCAGGAAAAATGAATAGATTTTCAGTGGGGTTTGGAGCCTACGACATGACCTTGTTTGATGTTTTGGTCACCCAGAGGCCTGCACGCCATTAAGGTGTGAGAGTGGCACTGTGAGGCTGTGCCACAGTGACTGGTCCACTTTCACAATGGGTGAAATATATTGTGCTCAAACTGTGACAGGAAGAGCAAAAAAATAAATAAAACTGATGATGACTTTTCAACAACCCTTGCAGCTGCTCTTCTTGCTTATCTAGTTCAAAAGACACCTACAAAGGACAACAGTGACATGTGAACAACTGCCTCCCTCCCCCGCCCGTGAAACAGCTACTGCAAGGCCCTTGTACATACATGCCACCCGGCTTCGGGCATCGATGTATCCAGGCAGTGGCATCGAGTGGAATGGCAGGCGGGTCTTATGAAAACAACATAATTGCCGTCCCGAGTGAAAACTCTCAGCACTGTGTCATCGTAGCATTATGTAGGCCTCACAACTGGGAGCTAATAAACACCTTGTCAACGCAGTAGGTGTCAGCTTTACACCCAGGATGAGTGTCTCCAAGAGACATGCTAGCACGTCACAAGCCAGCATTGTAGCCTGCTCACTGACACTACTGGTCATTTCGTGTGTTGTTGAGAAGGCAAGCCTGTGATCAGTCATCGTGCGCTAACATCATGGTCCACACCATCACCACCCACTCTGTCTCGACTGCTCCTCTGCCTCGGTCTGCCAACAAATCTGTGGTGAAGCTGATTTTCTTTCACGAATTATTTAAATGCTGCACGCACGCACACACACACACACACCCTCTTGGACTTGTCTTATTGGTTAGGCTATTCCATTCTTCCAACATGTGATTAAATTACAAACATGCCAAGATGCAACTCTACCATATATACACTGAAATATGACGCTGTCGTTATCAGGAGCATGATTTTCCTGTGACATCTGATACTCTGTATTATATTATATCCACTATGTAGAGGTTTAGCTTATTGCAAACATTGATCAACGTGTTGTAATTCAATATAGCATGTCAACAGCAGCATTTTGTTGCTGGATGGAGGCGTGATGGTGATGGTGGCGGTGGTGCTGTGTTCATTGCTACATGTGTCCTACAGTCTATTGCAGGGCACAGAGGTGAAGCCTATTGACGAGTCGTAGACAGCCAAGGTCAGCGGCTGCACATTTGTTTAATGAAGGCAAACCAGAGAGTCTGGACAATGCGCATCACACACTTGAGCAGCCTCTTGGCCGTTGCAAGGCAGCCAGGATTGTGTCTGCAGCATCCACAGTCATCAGAGAGATCAACAGAGAAACCTCACACACACGCGCACACACACACACACACACACACACACACACACACACACACACACACACACACACACACAAACACATGCACACATAAAAACACATGCACGCGCACACAAACAGGATTGTAAGCCTGTAAGTGAAATTTAACACGCCTATACACCTATAGGATGTGACACCTTGATGGATTAAAGAAAAACATTCAATGTGATAAGGTCAGTCTAATCACTGCTGAGTGCCACAAACAGCTTAGAGAGCAAACAGAGGGAAACTAGAAGTCAGGATGGGCTATAATACACCTATGAAGCCCCACCACCACCACCCTCCCCTTGCCACACCCTTGCCCCTGTATCTGTGTGATATCTGAAAGTGTATCTATCATCTTGGATTGTGCGCCCAGATAAAGCCGGAGAGGCTGAGACTGCTGCTGCTGCTGCTGGAACTACGGGAGGCTGCCCCTGTTCTATCTGCCTGTCCGCTCCCTCCGGCTATTTATAACCAATAGAGCTACAGCACTTTATGAATGTCCGCAGGCACAGCATCACACAGTCTTCTGATACTCTGCCGAAACTGTTTTGGTGTGTCATTATAAGAGGCAGTGCTGGGGTGAAAAAAAAAAAAAAAAAAAAATCAGGGGCCACTGTCATATATTCTCTGCAAATGCTGCCTTGAATAACAAACAACAGACGGCGTGTGGCACCATCAGCACACAAGTTTCATCCTGTGTCCTGTGTTGTAGTCGCAGTGGAGGCTATATATAGATCCCATGACTATTGTCTTGTTGAAAATAAAACAAACAAACAGACAAAAAAAAAAAAAATCCAAAGTCGTTTCTGAGGATCAATAAGATGCACAACTCGGTTTGCAGCAGGAGCCTGGCTCGCTTTCATACGCTGCCCATTTAACAGATAGCCATCTTTGCAGATGAATAAAATGGCATATGGGGAGGATCACGACTGACTCACATTTCCACACAATGAGAAATGTTATCTCAGCAGAAGCCTATACGTGGTCAAATAAAGGCTAGATTAAGATAACATTTTTGCAATTCACACCCTCCCCACACACAAGCACACACACGCACACTCCCCATCCTCTCACACATGCACACACATACACTCACATTCGCGGGACAATTAAATTTGATTAATGGCTTAAGCCTTCATCCTCCCAGACAAGCACACATGCAGACAAAAATGACCAGAGAGGCAGATTGGAGAGTCAGAATGTGCATCGATAAGAAATCTATAAATTCATTTGGAATCTGCGTGGATTAGATGCAGTTTTACCTGCAGAGGACGCGCCTAACCAACACTCAAGTCCCCGTTTGCTTTTCTGTCCTGTCAACCGATTCTGCCCTAATCATCGCAGACTTGCAGGAACATATATATTTTTTTTTCTTTTTTCCGATTTTGACATCGGAACAAGCCCCGAGGAGTTTTAGGAAAGCCTCTGGTATTAAGTGATGCCGCCAGTGGCACATCAGAATTCACATATTTGAGGGATGTTTCCCCTCAAAGTAGCCCCGGAGAGACCGGGGCTTAGCTGCATTCTGGATATCCGCCTCTCTAAAATCTTGGCCTCAGCCTGACATTAAACTACAGCGACATACGCACAGTAAGAACAGTAAGACACATATCTGCGTTAATAAAAAAAAAAAAAAAAAAAAAAAAAGAAAAGAAAGAAACCTCCCTTCCTTTTCTTCTGCTTTCTTAATCAGACACTCACCTGCTGTAGCCTTCACTGCTTCCGAGCATCCTTTCGCATATCTCCCCGACGGCAACTCCCAGCCACCAAGACTCAAATTGAGACACACTATCTCAAGTCCATCGCCTTGAAAGACAGCGCTCAAAAAAAACACACACACATACACACACACACACACTAACACACACACGACGGCGGCGTGGAAACAACAGAAAAACAGCCGGTCGTTTGGTTGCAGATTTCCAATGAGTTTCTCCACAGCGGCTGTAGCACGGTTCTATGATGACAGCTGTAGTTAAAACAGGCAACCCACACACACACACGCACACACGCACAAACACACGTATACACGTACACACATGTACAGCGCGCGATGCTCCCTCGGTTAATGGGACTCCCTGTGCGTCCGGACTCGTCCGAGTGTTTGGAGAATAAAGAAGGAATGCAAATGGCAGGTAGAGAGAGAACAACTCCCACGCACCGCTCCCCCCCGATTGCGAAGCGCACAGTCCTCGCTCCTTGATGCAGTCTCTCCAACAGCCGCACACTCTCAGCTCTGTGCGACTGGCTGTCGTCAGGAGCTCAGGCAATCCGCCTGCTGGAGGGAGGAACGGAGATGATCGGCGGAACGCACACTGCCCGGTGTCCTACTCAAGTGTGTGTGTGGTAAAACTGTGTGTGTGTGTGTGTGTGTGTGTGTGTGTGTGTGTGTGTGTGTGTGTGAGTTTGATCACCCTCCGCAGTCTGTTCATTTGCTGGTTTATTTATTTTAGACTCCGCGCGTTTTGTTAACCAGCCTTATTTGTCCAGATTTCAGCCCCCCCCCCCAAGCCCCCCACCCGGTATACACAACCGTTTTACGCGCGCGCATGCAGGTGCACGCAGACACCCACAGATGACAACGTTTCCAAAACATGAAATGAGAATGTCCACAGAGGATAAACTGAAAGAAAAAAAAGAGAGCTCACATTACCCTCGCAACATGCAAATGTTTCACCAACAAGGTGCTGACAAATAAAGAAATAAAATCTGATTTAAGTCTGAGACTGGAGGCAGGGAGGGAGGGAGGGAGAGGGGTCCATGAGAAAATAGCAGTTCCTCTTTTGAGGGCCTGATGGCACTGTGGGCTTCAGATACTGCAGACAAACACACACACACACACACACACACACATCCAGTTAAACAACAGTCTCTTCCAGGAGGCCGGCATCGGAGTATGTTGTCTAATACACATCTGATCCTTTGTCTGTGATTTTATAGGGTGGTCTCAGGCACAGTCACTCACAGATTGCAGAATAAATATTGAAAGGCAGCAAACTCTTATATTGTCATTTCTTTAATGTGATGCCAAAGTGAGAGATGATCAGATTGTTGTTATATGTTATTATATACGATAAGGAGGGGAAGTCAGCTCCCCTGGATCTAAATGTTCTGGGGTCAGTCAAATGCATTTCAAGTCCACTTCAGCAGCTGAATGATGCGACTCATTTGTAATCCCTGCCCATGTTGCACAATGCTTAGCTAAGGTTTGTGGGAGGACAAGCAAATCAGATGGATTCCTGATATTGTAGGTGTTTGTTAACACGCTATAGTCTCTGCTCCACCGTGAGAGGCCCTGTTCAGTCATTAGTCTGCAGCACATTGTAGGGGGTGAGGGCGGAGGTTATCTCAGTTGTGGAAGAAGAATTCAATACAAGCTTTACAGATGATTCGCTTTAAAGGTAAAAGTATTTGTGTTCATTAATTTAGGCATTTGGAAAGATGAGAGGACGACGAGAAAGTTTTAATCAGGTTTAATCTGTAGATTTCAATGCCGGAGACAACGCGCCACAAAAATACTACCATTTTAATATTAATATAAGATATCGTGTGAGGTGTCGGTATTTTCTATAAACAAATAAGAAGTTTATAATGTAGCCAGGTAGTCAGAGGTTTCATACACTGTAAAGCCCAAAGTGTGTATGGTCTAGTGATGGAGACAGAAGAACATGAGAGCTAGCACTGTATCAACAGCTGCCGCTGACTGTGTCTGAAACTCACTACTCCCTAACAGGCACGTAGTTCCCTCTATTTCGAGCGGTAAACTGAGATTTCAGATGCATAGTGATCATCACCACTTTGAGTTGATCACTCAGTGTGTTTCCATCCATCAGCTCTTAATACTCACATTGCATTAATTTGAATCTTATTTTGCAAATTTTGTGCAACGTTCGGATGGAGAGCAGCAACTGACTGTTGTAATTCTTACATACACATTATAATATGCACATGCATTGGATTGTGGGATTGCTAGTAAAAAACACTATTTTTGTCATTTTGTTGTGGGAATGAGGTCAATGAAATCAATCAATCAAATGTTAGTGAATATGACTTGAGATGCAACCTTTGATTAATACCAGTTAGTGCCCACTATTACCATCAGTTCCAGGTGTTTACAATAGCACATGTATTTAATGGATTGATGTTGCAGGAATCCAACTTTAAAATGTAAATTTAAACTTAAATTTAGCTCGTCAGCAATCACAAAATCTTCTTTTTGCTTTCTATAAAACCGAACATGGCGCGTACAACCTTTAACACCGTGTTGATCTCTGGGATGTTAAAATATATATTTTTGAATATCTTAACCGTGATATGCAGTGCGCTCAAAAAAGCATTTTAATCATCAGGTCTGTGGGTTACTGATGTGAAATACAAAATCATCTCCATCATCCACATCAGATATTAGAAACATTTAATCCTTTGGTTTTAGGGGTTTTACAGTGCTAATGAATGATTAAGTACTTGCCATGTTATTTTAATCAAGAGAACTGGAGTGTGCAGAGAACTCAAAAAACAATGGAGTAAATATTTTATGTGTGACAGCCTTTCAAATGCACTGCTGTCAGTATGAAGGCAGAATATCACTGTGCGCTTATCAGTGCTGATACCTTGATGGGACTTAGATGCTTTTGGGTCTTTTTGGATTAGTCACCTCTAACCTGTAAGTGATGTATTAGTAACTGGAAGATATCATTGTTAGTTAGTTTTGACAGATGTTTAACAAACTCACATCTGTAACATCTGTAAAATGAGAGTTGCCAAACAGTTAGCGGAATAACCAGGACTCAGGTCTTCAAACCCAAATTACATTTAGACTATATCAACTAGCACTCTCATCACGTGTATGTTTGAGTGACGTTTTCACTCCCGGCCCACAACAGAGAAACTGCCAGAAAAGTATTTGTCTGCCAGTGTTAAAAATGTGTCTCTGTCCTTCTTCCATCCTCAAGCTTCTCTGCACAGACCCTCTGAGCAACTTAAACCACTCAGGCGTCACAGCTACATGTGAATGTCATCAGCATCAGTTCACGCATGGCCAAGGCACTCTTGCTATGAGTACAGGGTATTTTCCTCTGTATTTTAGAGCTGTTTCCTCCTGCCTGGCTGTGAAACCATTCCTTAAGGGGGGACGAAGGCTCTTTCTTTCCAGATCAGTACACTAGTACTGGCCAGATCTAAACTCAAATACAGAGGTAACTCAACAGCTACTTTAGACTACAAGTCAGTTGACATGATATTTCCTTAAGGATATAACATTAAATATTAAACCATTCAAATGAGTTTTAAAGGTCCCATAAAAATGGAAAATATATTTGTGGTTTTAAGAAGCAAAAACCATCTTAGTGTAGTTTTGCATCTCCTCTCTCTGGTTACTCTCTGGAGCGCTATATAACAGGTCTGTAAGCCAATCAGAAGAGAAGAGGCTCTGAGCCTCTCTTCTGACTGGCCGACTGTTTTCAGAGTGATTAAAAATATAGCAGATTTAAGGTAAACACTCAGAGAAACCAAATTCTGCAAGGTTGGATGGTGGCTCCAGGTGGGCGATAACTGCTTTGTTGTGACATCACAAAGTTACAGAGGTCCTGACGGCTGGTTTTAAGGCTCAGTTTCTGAATACAGGCTGTGTGCATTTCTCTGTGGACTGAGCGCTTTGATACTTTCACAGTATTAATAAAGAACTTAGACCTGTTTTATAATCAAGAATGACATAGAAATCTACCTTTATACAATATGGGACCTTTAAAAGTTTTATTAATGCTTGGCAGGATGTTTTATCCGTGCATATGTGACACATTCATCAGCTGGTTCTTAATCCTTTATGTGTAAAACCAAATGAACCAACCATTATCCACATATCAGGTCAAATGTGTCAACAGTGTGTCGCTGGATGAATAAAAACCAGAGAGCCAAAAAAGACAAAAAAAAACAAAACAGCGTTGACGAGATGGACTTCATGGGAGGGAGGAGAGAGGCTTAATTCATGGTCTGTAACTCTGCTTGCCTCGTCTCCATCCTCGCTACCCTGCTAAGAGCTGCAAACAACAACAGAGGTAACAATGGATACCTAGTGACGCCATGGGCTTTGAAAGCATCCCATCAATAATTAATTTGTTCTGCTGTGTTCCTCAACACTGGCACGCATGCTTGTCCTTAATCTTTTGTTATACTGCGTGTGAGGGGTGTCTGTCACATGCACACTCTTGACTCTGAAAGATAAATGGCTCTGTGATGAGATGATAAAATAGCCATTCGCTTATTATGATTAAATCAGTGACCCTGTTATTCGGCGGGTAAATGCTTCTGCATACTAACCTGCGATACTGTCATTCTTTCAGTTTAACTGTATTGATTAGCCTCACTTTCTAAACATCAATCCTGTTCACAGCCAAAGTGCAGATAGATTCAGGCACATTTTCAACCAAAATCATGAAATGTGTCTAAGACAGAGAAGAGCTTCCACTTCTATTCATTTTCCCTCTTTGCCAAATTAAATTCTGGTGTTCAGAATGAATGTTTGTTCCCCACAGTAGGTGACAAATGCAAACTTGAGAGTGAAATCCAAATTGTCTTCGACGTGAAGCGAAAGCAGAATTCACCCAGTGCACACTTTCTCTCCCTCTAAGGTATCTTCTGTATTAAAATATGACAGACCGGCTCTTTCCATGATTTGCAGCTAACCATATTGTATGCGAGTGCATTACAGAGCTTCATAATGTTTTTCCACTACTTATAGATTTACTAAAATATATAATATTCCATACATTTCCAGTAAATTTTATTTAGAGAAACACCAGAAATAGTCCAGACACTTATAACACTTATGCTGTATCTATATCATAAAGATCTGAAGACATTAAAGTCACTTTGAGGGTGGGATGTACATGAGAGATGTGACAGCGTCGATGAAGGTGAGTTTCCAGCTCACATTTGGGGGAATTTCTCTCAGCACACGGTCTGTTATCAGAAAAGTTTTTGACTTTTGTGCTATGAGTCTGCAGCGTGCACCATGCGGTGACAGCAGCCCAATCAAAGCACTGTACAGTTTTTTCTCTCAGCACATGATTTGGATAGCTCTTGATTAGAGAGGAAGTTAGCCAGACCCCCCCTGCTGATAACAAACAAACCCCAAATCTTCTCTACAGAGAGCAG